CCCGAATAATGAACGGCACCCGAGAGAGGCCCACATCACTCACCGACCGGTCCAACGCTAAGTTGGCCGCACTTTACGAACTGGTCTGCGGTCAGCACTTGGATGTGGCCGACTATGTCCTCCAATCCCAACATGTGATCGATTTGTTGGACATTCTGTGCCATCGGATCAATGTATGGCCCAATTGTTTGTTTTCTGTTTTGTTTTACAATTTGTTTTACTCTATAGTTATTGGACACGACTCTCATGAGTACCAGTGGTGAGGGAACCACAGCCTTGACATGCGATATAGTGGTCGGAGCCCTGTGTCGACTCCTGTCCACCATTTTTGACACACTTCACGGCCACTACTCGACGCTCACCGACAGTACCGACGATAGTCTAGCTTTCAATCACATTATTCAAGACTTAATCAGGTATTTGATGATTGGATCCGCGTTTTAGACCAATTAATGGTTATTTTTATGTCAACAGTTATATAGTATCGGTCGGAATGATTGATAAGCTGTCGCTAATGATGGCCAACACTCGGGGCCCCGTCGACGACCACCCGGAGCTCACACAATGCCTGCGAAGTGTTGTTTCTCTGTTCAGTTCGCTGTCGAAACTGATGGCACTTCGAGTGGAGGAGAGGTTCGGCGCCCGTCTCGCCGACGACGACACACAACTGATGCTCACATTTCAGATGACACACATCGGCGGTGTTGTGTCCCTCATCTACGGAGTGCTCCTCCACTCGGGAGCGCCTCAAAGGGCTGACGGCGATCGACCCCCACCTGCGGCCGACCATACGCTGGATCTGACTCTGGAAGTGATCAGACTTTTGAATTACGTGTCGCTATTGGATCTGAATGTGGTTCAGGTATGTGTGACCTGTGCTGTGTCTATGCCTTCTCTGTGCTGTCCTATCAGTCTATTTGATTGACAATTGGGTATAATTTGTTAATAATTTTGTTTATTGTTTTGTAGTGTGTTTTGGGCGGCGAAGGGCTGTCACTACAGCTCCGGCACATCTGTTCATACCTTCTCTGGTATTGCACTCACCATAAGAAGGAAGCGCTTCTCAACGAAGCGATTTTATTGGTCGGCAATTTTGTTGTACTCAACGACGAGAATCAGGTCTGTGTCCACACGACTCTCTACTTAATGCTTACCGAAACTAACTGTGAGTTTGATTACAGGCGCTGTTAGAGTCGGGCCAACGGCCGACTGTCGTCCAGCAGTTGTGTTCGCTGCCCATCGAGTACTTCAGCGACGATCGACTGTCTCGGGTGTTGTTCCCGACG